GACCCATTTGGCCCCTCCCACAGGTGATGAGCCCATGGGAAGGCGGACCCACGTCTCCTCTTTGGGCTGTGCCCGGCCGAGCTCCATGGGTAAAAGCCCCGCCACCAGGCACTCACCCATGTGCCCCACCTCCAGGCCTGGCTCCAGAGTGGGGTCCTGGTGACCCACGTCCAGGTGAGGGAACATCAAGTCCCAATATAAATCATAAACCATAATTACTTCTGCTCATTCTAAATTTGTCAAATGCCCTAAATCTCCTCAAATGAAGGAGGATCATTTTAAAATAATAAATATGATATATTCTGTAGCCATGTTTCTGCAAAGAAGATTTAAATTTGATGTTGATTTGTGTGCCTTTTGTCAATCAGAAGATGAATCCCTCAAGCAATTTTTTTTCATGTCAATACAAAGTATTTGGTCAGACATCAGAAACTGGATTAATCTCAAACTTAACATTCCTTCTTTTCATGCTGATGCCATTTTACTTTATGTGGATAACTTAAGCTCAGCTTTCTCTGATGCCATAAATATAGTCTTACTTATAGCAAAGTACCACATTCACTGTAGTAAGAGGAGGGATAATAAGCCTTTCTTCCTGTTTGTTGAACGATTTTAAGTCATACTATTCTTCATTAAGTAGATTAAAATCTGCAAAACTGCTAAAATCATCTCACAACAGATACAAACTTATTGTTTTAATTAAAACAATGTTTCTCAAGAAAATGAAACTGATGAGCTTGTCAGCAGGTAAGGGCGTTTACCTTTGGGACAAATTGAGGTTGTCGATTGGTCAGTTAATGACACGCCTTCTGAGTTGATTGACAGGTTACAACTTAAGGATACGATTGAAAAAAAAAAACGAGAGCTGCAACAGCCACGCTGGGAGGAAGCGGGGTGGCCCAAATGCAGTGGAAGCGCAGCAGTCTCTCTGTGCAGCGCAGGGCTCCAAGTAAAGCAGGAGATAACCAGATATTTTGCTTGTGCCCTCACTGCCCTGGGCCCCTTAGAGATCATGGTCCCCTGGGCAGTTGCCCAGTTGCCCATATGGTTAATCCGGCCTTGACCACAGCAACTAACACACGAAAACGTGGCAATTGTTTTTATGCCAAATGTCCTTCCTGACACAACCACAGACCACTGAGCTACCACAGCCCTCTGTGTGGAACAGAGAGCTGCCAACATGGATCCCCAAGAAAGCAGATGGTGGGGGTTAAGTGCCTTGCTCAAGGGTCCAGAGTGGGGCAGATGAGGTTAGAGCAAGAATGTGGCCAGATGGCTGTGTGCGCGTGCGTGTATGTGTGTGTGCATCCATTTGAAAGCTGATCCAGGATCTCTTTAAAGTACCCGGTATTTTGATTTTTAAATCAAGTTATGTTTAGCTTGTATGATTTCATAGGTTGCTGGTAGATAATTTGCTGACTACGTGAGTCACCTATGGTAGTGTAAATGTTAGAGAAGGTGGGCCTGTGATCGGAAGGTCGCAAGTTCTACTCCTCGGACCGATATCATCAAAATATGGGTGGGAAAGAGGAAACATCCACACCTGCCTCCAACCTACTGTACTGGTGTCTGCCCACCTGAGTGTCTGTCAGCCTGCCTGAATGTCTTCCTAGGCAGAATCTGATTTCCTCCCCATATGGTGTGTTGTGGTGGGTTGTGGTGAGTTGTGGTGTGTTTGTGTAGTGGATTAGAGTTGAGTCAGTGTGTCACTGAGATCAAACCTGCAGCATATCTTAAAGAACCTTCTAAAATTATCATGTGGTATAAACAACAAGTAAAAAGTCAAAAAATAATGTTTCATAAACGACAAAAATCATTTTGTGGATTTTTTTTCTGTGAAGTAATCAACTTTACTTCATTTGATTGTTTTTAAGTGTTTATTTTAATTTTAAAAAATCTTAAATACTCAACCCTATTAATTAGCAATCTTTATAAATGCTTGTGAATTTCCTTGTTTTTATTTTATTTTTGCTAAGAATTGCACAAAAGCAGTAAACAGATGAACATGTATCTTTGTAATATGAAAAACTTGTAATCTTTCAATAACATCTGACAAGACAAAAAGGACATAACTAAAAAAAAATCATAATTTTGGGGGAAACATTTTTGTAAACCAATCATCCTATTAAACTAGAAAGTTTGAACAGCAAGTATGATATTTAACATCTGACATATAACATCTTGTAAAAGCAGATATTTGCAATATGAAGCAAAAATGTGAGCAGTGGTCATTTTGGATCCAACTGATTTGATACGAAGAGCAAATCAAGTTACCTGCAGTGCTAAATCTTTTGTTTCCAGGTGTATTCCAAGATATCAGGGGGCCTGTTTTTATACGCTATGAGCACAATATGATACCAGAAAACGAGAAAAGACATTAGTCTTTAAAAATCATTAAAGTTCTCAGTGTTAGACAGTAAGTGAATTTGTTTTGTCAGATGTCATTTTCAAAAACTATGCATGTGATCTCAGGTCCTCTGGATGGGTTCAAAAAAATAAAAATAAAAATTATAGAACCATATCGTCTTTCATCTGAAAGACTTCTTCAGTCTCTTTCGGATGAAAGACGAAACATTTCTACATTTTTTTATTATTTCTTTGAACCCATCCAGAGGACCTGACTTAACATTTTTTAGATTTTCTACCTGGATTATTGAGCATGCATCAGGATATCTGCGTGTGACTTTTTTTTTTTAAACTTTCTTAACAATCCTAAAAGAAAAAAAATTGACAAACATTTTAAAAAGTAAACCATAACTATAGAATCAATAGTGATGCTTTAAACTTGCAGGTATGCAAGACCACTGAAAATGCATCATATCAAACCACTGTTTCACTGTTCATCTCAAGTCTGTTCATCTCAAGTCTGCACTCATCACAGCTTACTTCACCCAGTGTTAGCAAAATAAACAGTTTTTGCCTTATTTTAACTGTTTTTGTAGTTCTGAATTTAGTTCTGTTAGTGTCAGTTAGCAGCAGCAGCACAGTGGTGCAGTTGGAAGAACTGCTGCCCCACCCAGACCGAATCCTGGCCGAGGGCTTTTCTGGGAGGAGTTTACATGTCCTCTCCATGCATGCATAGGTTTTCTACGAGCACTCCGGTTTCCTTTCACAGACCAAAAACATGCATGTTAGGCTGATTAGTAACTAAATTGTCCCTAGGTGTAAGAGAGAGTGAATGATTGTTTGTCTCGTTTATCTCCATGTGTCCCTGTGATGGACTGGAGACCTGTCCAGCTTGTACCCTTCCTTTTGCACAATGATTTATCTGGATATGGACCCCCCCCCCCCACACACACACACACACACACACACACACACGCATACACACACACAACCCTGAAAGAAATAAGCTGGTAAAGAAAATGGATGGATGTATGGATGGAGTCATGACTGAACTGTTTATCACACACACATACATTTGGATGTGTGTGTACACAGCAGCTTTCAGTGTTAATTGGTTATAATGAACCTTCTTGTCACAATTTGATAAACAAAAACACCTCCTACTGCCACCTGATTGGTCGGCAGGTTCAGCTGCAAGGAGATGTTCATGGTGAAGGGGCAGAGCTACACAGAGCACAGTAAACCTGTGATTTAGTGCAACTGATCCTGCTGTTGGACATCTGTCTTCTCCCTCCCTTTGGAGTTCAGTGCCACCATCTGTCTGTTGGTTTGTTCTCATATTCTGGTCCTGTTGCCGTTTTAAGAAAGCATCAGCCAATCAAATCAAAGATTAATAAAATCACAAGCTTCTGATTGGTAGAATTACAAGTAATAAATGGTAAATGGTAAGTGGACTGTACTTATATAGCGCCTTTCTATCTTATTTCAAGATACTCAAAAGCGCTTTACACTACAATCTGTGTCCTCATTTACCCATTCATACAGCACTCTACTAGAGCTCTACAAAGCTAATGGAACAAATCATTCTAATGAGACTAATCAGTGCTTTAGATCACATTCATACACTGATGGGACACACATCAGAGGCTATGAGGTTCAGTGTCTTGCCCAGGGACACTTCAGCATGTGACTGCTGGTAGATTTGAACCCCCAACTCTCGCATTGGAGGACGACTGCTCTAACCACTCAGCCACAGCTGCCCCAGGGGAGTGGTGGCGCAGAGGTTATGTTCATGCTACATGAGGAGTTAACAAAATAAATTGATATAAAAAGTTATCTTGTATAAAACCATCCATTATCTTTACCCACTTCTTTCTTTGCAGGAGTCACTGTGCCCATATCTAGCCATCACTGTGTAAGAGGCGGGTAGTGTGCGAATAAATATGCAAAGCATTATAGAGAGCTTAAATGCAATGCATTTACCATTGCTGCCTTTCTCATTCTCTATAAGTTCTATTGTGGATATTCTCTGACAAGTCTGAATCTATCGGTTGAACATCTAGGTGTGTTATGTGTCACATAATGGGTTCTGTCTGTTTAGATCTATATTCTGTCCCTTTTGAGTGTTAGGAAACAAGTGGTCGAAATGAGTTTTCTGTGCAAGGTAGCTGGACTGTCCCTTAGAGATAGGATGTGAAATTCAGTTATCCAGGAGAAACTTGGAGTAGAGCCGCTGCTCCGCCACATCGAGAGGAGCCAGCTGAGGTGGTTTGCACATATAGGAACCTAGAGGTTGTCCTAGGGAGGTGTTCTAACAATGTCTACCTAGAAAGAGACTCCCAGGGAAGACCAGGACATGCTGGAGAGTCTATGTCTCCTGGGAATGCATTGGAATCTTCCCACAAGAGCTGGAAGAGGAGCCTATGGAAAGAAATGTTGGGGCCTCCCTGCTTAAGCTGCTGCCTTTGCTACCCAACTCCAGCACAAGCGGGATACTAATGGATGGATGTATAGATGGATGGATGGATGGATGGATGGATGGATGGATGGATGGATGGAT